CGAAGGTCAAAGCCTTCACTCCCTCGACATCACAGATATGAGACTGCGTAAGCAGCAATACTGTCTCCATAACTAGAACATACATTTGATTGTTTAGCAACAAGCACACCCATAGATTAAATGATCTGTGTGGGTTTAAAGTGTGACTGCAGGAAAGCAGACTTCAGAATATGAGAGAGCATCATGCACAGATGTTGTATAGATGAATTCTGATTTTCTCCTTGGCCAAGCTTCAATAAATATTTCAGCATAAGACGTCAAAGGGCTCCTGAACGCTTTCTTCATTGATGAGTTGACCATTGATCAGCAGATTTTCCACAACAAGTACCTCTTCAGGTATTTCTTGTTTTTGTAAAGTTGATGCATTGTGTGTGTGGTATATTGTAAATTTTAATAAGGATAGCATACACTGGCTGCTGTTGAGAGCAGCAGTGCTCTGCTGCAGAGAGAGGCTACTGTCAGTTTTGGGTTTGATTCAGTTTTATGACAGCTGTCACCGATGCCACCCCCATGCACATAGAACATAATGCAAACTGAATAATTTAAGGAGGTCAAACTTTTGTAAGGTGGAGAAGAAACTGAAAGCAAGTCCCAAGTTACTTCACCATGTGAGTGCGGAGGATCATGGAAGACAGTTGGACATCCGCCAGTCTTGTTAAATCTGTAAATGGACTGAATTTATACAGCACTTTTCCTATCTGTCAACCAATCAAAGTGCTTTTGCACTGTAATGTTCACACACACACACAGTCTGACGACTAGATGACCGCTCTACCTCCTGAGCCATGATGTCCCCTGAGACTGTACTGTATTATACTTATAATGTGCTATTTTATGTTACAGCCTGCAAAGACTCAGTGTAGTCAGAGGAAGAGTGATGGTAAATAATGCATTTGCATTTTCAGAAGAGTACCTTTATTTTCTTATTTTTAAAGAATAAAATTTTGTGCGTCTCTTTGGACTTTTTCTTTATTTAGTAAATTACACTGCCTAATGTAAAATAAGTTAACTATTCATCAAAACAATATTCTGGTCACATTGAATAATGGCCTGGACTGATGGGTAAAAAAATACAACATTTAATGTCTGAGTATGGTGTTTGTCCAACATGAGTTGCTAAAACAGCTTCAGTGGGCTTTAGCAGCTGTGGAATTGAGGGGATCAAACACTATTCTCTGTGGAAGCATCTATATATTCATTGTATTTATATGCTATTGTTTCGACTTATGGTTGTATCATCCTTCTTTAAAAAAGCTTCACAATGTCTGTGCAAGCTTTGATTCTGTCTACACCAATAAGGAGTCATTAGTGAATTGCAATAGTGGGACATGTAGTTCATTTTAATCAAGGTTCACAGAGTGAACAACTGCAACAACATAAATCAGTCTGGAAGCAGTTTAAGACAGTTTGGATAAGGACTGATTATGATAAAGGCAATCATGAAATTTCTTGTTGAGATGTTTGTAAAGACACTCAGTGATTACAGTTCAGAGACAAGGTGGCTTTACTTCTGATCACTCGGGTTTATACTGATTGTAATGACCTGTTAACAAAATCACCTCTGCACTCTGTTCTCTCATAATCAGATTTTAGACATGCTAAAATCATGATCTTATCATTGTGAAGGGCAAATGATACTCAATCTTTTACACTGCAGCTTGGTAAAGGTTTGAGTAATAAAAACACGTAGGGTCCCTGTAAAGTAAGAGAGATTTTGTGATTCTCAGTGGACATTAAGAAGGAAAGCACATAAATGATAATTCTGAAATTTTTGTTCGTTGATTTAAAGATGATAAAATCCTGGTAAAAACCTAAAAATGTTAAAAACAAGTTGATGAAAGCCATGTTTGTTATAATAAGCTTTTTATTGAGTTTTTCCACATTTTCTTCTTTTTATTGGATGATATTCAGTTCAAGCAAAGAATTGAATTGTTTTTTTGTATTTTAATTGAATGAACATTGTCATATAAAGGTAAACCAAAATTTCTTGTCATGTCAGTGCCCATCACTCTTCTGATTACAGAGCTCTTCCATGTGGTTTGTGGATATTAAACTTAAGTGATGGAATCCTACAGTACTTTTTATTTTTTGCAAATGTCTATTTAAAGTGACAATAATGTTAATATTTATGAGGAGTTTCCCTAGAGCTGTTAGCGCTCAGCCCCTCTCAGCTAATCAGCAGCCGGCAGCCTGAAAATAACCTCATCATTCCTGCTTTAGAGTCCCATGTTACAAAGGACTGCTGAAATCAAAGCACAACAACTTTTATGAAAGTAGTCATTTTTTAATTAATTTTCATTTAAGGCAATCCAATACAAAGCATTTCACAACCCACCATATGACAACAATCATGTACAGTAAAAATCCGTTTGAAGGAAAGTAGGGAGTCATGCAAATCAGAAAACTCAGGAGACAGAAACAACAAAGTGGGGATTAGACAAAAAAATAAAAATAAATGTAAAAAAAGTGTTAACTGTAACATGCTAATTAGCTACAGCTTTGTAACCACGTGGTAAAATAAGAAATGTTGAAGAACCAGGCACAAGAGAGAAGAAATAGTCCACAGAGTTCACACTGCCATGTTTGGCACTGACATGCATGTTATCTGGTTGCACTGGTTCCTATTTTATAGATGACGACACTCTCATTGCACGACATGCAGCCGATCCATCGCGCCAGAATAAACCTGGGCTTTCAGAGGACACAAAGCAACTGTACTGATGTGGACAGAAGGAGCGATGGCTTATTCATACACACTCCAAAAATAAATAAATAGATATCTTCAATACAGTAATATTCCCAAAAATATATCAAAGATAGGCTGTACAACAAGCACTCCTCTCGAGGATAAAGTGCTGATGGGATCTACATATGTAAAACCAGCTTTAAGCATTACACTTTACATTCCAACAGAAATCCACTCTCATCTTTTCACTGTTAACTCTTTATTCTCTTACTCTACACTAACGAATACAGGCAAATTGCTGTTTTTCCATTTTGACCATTAACCAATTAACTAATCGTCCATCTTCCACTTAAGAGCCACGCTTCTCCACTGCTTTTCAATACAAGACTAAATGAGATGGAGCGACTGCCTCTCATGTCATTAAGGCCTTTAGTTTGCTACATTAGACATTGAATTTTACCTTTTCAGTGCAGATTAGTTCTGCTCTTGCCTCCTCTGTCAGTTTAAAAGGAAGAGACGCCTTTTACAGCCCATTATTATCACTTCGACATTGTTTCTGCATTTGTTTACTCTCTACATGAGTGAGAGGAACAAGATTCTTCCAGTAAACCGAACAGTGTGAAGCGGGAGTAATTAAGAGAACTATGGCTGCTGTGAAAGAACAGCAAAGATGGAAAAAGTCAAAGTAAAATTAAGAAAAAGTTCACGTGAAAGAATTGATTTGAGCTAAAAGCTAACATCAACATGCTAACATGCTCACGACGACAATGCCAAATTGGAGCAAATACTGCAAATTGGCTGTGTATGGCTGCTTTCAATCTTTTGCACTATTTTCAAAAATAGTGCCATCACTCTCATAAAACCTCAGTGTTAAGTATTTAGTGCCACCCAGTGGTGGGGTTCCATATTGCAACCAACTAATGACCTCATCACCTGTGGCTTTCAGGTAACTTAAAATATGAAAGTCCCTCTTTTGAGCTAATGTTTGATTTGTCTGTTCTGGGCCATTAGAAAAATAATGGCGATGCAACATGGCAAACTCTGTAGACCTGCTCCTGAAGGTATAAACAATATATGAATATTATCTTCCATTTCTGCCGATAGACCCCTTTAAAGAAATATTCTTCCGATGTAGTACATCATCATTGAATCAAAACCAAAAAAACAAACCGTAAATAAACAGTGCTCCTCTCCCTCTGGCTGTTATAATCTTGGTTACTCAATCCTGAGGGATCACTGATCAATAGGATGAGACCAATTTACATGCATTTTTAAAGATTTCTGCATGTTTGTAAGTAAACAAATCACAGGACTGACAGTGGTTGTTGCTGCATCACTGTGCATGGATGCATCTTGAATCGTAAAAGTGGATTTTCTACTTGGGAGCCAGCTTGTTCTGTTTCTTCACACTGAACTTACATCACAGATGGAAAGAGGCCACAGACAAAGTTCTGCACAAAAGGCTCCTTCTCTACCCTGACAGATTGTTGATTTGTGCATATACATGATATAATTATGCATGGCCTGAATGTAATGAACATAAATCTGGGAGTGCTGGAGACCACTTGTGGACTGTCTCCCACCAGAGACTTGTAAAACATTGTAGTAAAGACAGATCTGCATTAAATGAACACTCCAGTGAGGATCCCTGGCTTTAATGGTACTGATTTACGTGTGAAGCGACAGTAGAGGTTATGTGGTTACTGGTGCATGGCTGCTGAGGGCAGTGATATGGGATTAACTGGGTTGCAGAGTTTCTGAGTTTAAAATAAATAATTGGTACATAAGATAAAAAAAATGTGTACATGTAGGACACATTTGTTTTGTAGTTGTGGAATTTATTTTTTGTACTTGTATAAAATGTGTAAGGCTATTTGTTTCTGCAGCATCATTTATTAGAAACAAATGTATTTGTCTGTCAGATGGATATACTGTATGTTTGTTAATGGTGTTATGTATTTGCAAACCACACTGTGTTTGCAAGTGAATGGTGGGGACTTTGTGAAACATGTTTTGCTTCTTTGTTAAATTATGGTATAGATTAAGCTCCATAAAATCACTCACTGTTAAAGGTTCAGTATGTAAGATTTAGGTGAAAGGGATCTATCGGCAGGAATTTAATGTAGAATAATCTTCATGATGTTTTCACTAGTTTGTTTCATCTAAATTGTATGAATTGTAGTTTTCTTTACTCTAGAAAAGACTCTTTATATTTAAATACTTTATATTTACAATGAGGGGACCCTCTCTATGGAGGCCGCCATGTTTTTTTTTACATTAGTCCAGACTGGACAAACTAAACACCTTTTGAGTTTTTATGACAACTGAAGCTACCACAGGTTCTTTTTCATGTTTGGAAGGGGAGGGTGAGGTGAGGGGTGTTCAGCTGCAACATGCAACTTCAACACTAGATATCACACAATTCTACACACTGTGCTTTAAGTCATGGAGCAAAGATTTACTGAGGGCTCTTTCAATTACCAACAACCGCCTAAAACCATCCAGTGTCTCTACATTGTAATACCATCCTGTTCCAGTTGCTCTGTGGCTACATCAATACTTTGTTTTCATTTGAAAATGCATCAACTCTGCTACGTTTAGTTTGAAAACTCCTGGGCTGCATTTTCATCTGGACAGGCAGAAGCACAGATGTTCGGAAACACTGAGACACTGACAGCCGCTTGCTGATTGGTTCTTTTCAGTCACTTCGTAGCCTTTGCTGATCGGTCAGGCTCCTATCACATGACCAAAAGGCTCATGTTGGTAAATCCTGGGTCCAACTGTAGTGGTCACGTGACATGCGTTTTCAGGTTTAAAACCGAAAAGGAGCCATAACGTTCACGTGGACAGAGATCGTTTTCGTTTGAAAAAAGTAGTATCGACCTGGTTTTTTGTCTTAACTGAGATGTTTAATATCTACTGAAAAAATAAAGGTAAGAAAACTAGATTTTGACATAATGCCCCACTACAGACTGCAGGTCATGAAGATTAGGTTATAACTATCACTTAAGGCAGTTATTATATCTGTATATATTGTGCTATTGTGATGTTTATTCCCAATCAATGGCCACTTATCAAATAACAAGGTAAGTTAATGCCCAGAGTGAATCACTTGGTTTCTGGGATACTTTTCTTAGCTGATAATCCAGCATTGGTAAATACTAACTTAATGTTGTGTCATATTCTGCAACTTTTTCTTATCTCCCCTTTATATGATCTGCATTTTGCTTGGGTGCTAATACGTTTTGTAATTACAATACATTACAAAATGAATAACATAAAAATCTAAGAGGTTTAAAAGCTTTAAATTGTCTATGATGCATTACATAACACTCTTCTTGTGCATCCTCCCTGGTCTGAATGTCCATACAGGACGAAGACCCTAAACATGCCTGTTTCAGATTATATTTTGAAATGCAGCTGCAGTACAAAGATATATGGCTTGCATTAATCAATTGGGTCCTTTGCTCCGAGACGATCCGCACTCAGAGTGATTAGATGTGATAAACCTGGTATGGCATCATCATAATTCTTAGTGAGACAGTTTGTGCTTTTTATATGCAATCACTTCAAGATCGTTGCTGACCACTTCAAAATTGATAAAGTTTATGGTATTCAAAAGAGATCTATGAAATGTCCATGCCACTCAGAATAACATTCGAGAATAAATATACTGGATATGGGGAATAAAATTCTCATACAACATGCTCTTATAAACAATTACTTAATAAAGAAGAGAGGAGGAGATACATTGTGGTATGAAAAGCCTGATTAACGTAATACGCTGTAAACTACACACCTGTTGTTTTTCCTCCATTATTACCGAGGCATTAGCAGACTCTGAGATAATTCCCCAAATATAAAACTAATTACAGGAGGGAGAAAAGGTGCCTAAAAATGTCACTGTATTAGGCACACAACCAACTGACGAGCAAGGCTGAGGTCAAAGTTCACATGTCCTGATATACTTAGAGAAACAACCACAGACAGGCACGAGTTTTAACCACAACATGACCTTTTTGAACCAACCTGCTGTCAAATTAGACATGAAACAGTCACTGCCTCGTTGTGGAATAAAAGTATCTGACCAACGAGTCCTGTAAAGACTGCAGCCTCTCCTCAAGAGAAACCAGCCAAATACAAATATCACAGAAAAAAAACATTTGAAATGCTGCTCAATTACTCTGAGGATACGGCACACAACTCAACACCCATTTCCTGGAGTGGTGACTCCTGTTTGCAAAAAACAGTAGGTAGAGAGTTTCCACTGGACTCTGAGTGGCTGCTGCATGCTGTCAGTCCTTAGGGAGAAGCCAGGGGGCGGTGTTTTATATCTGTGTGTGGTGGTGTGTGTGCCCGGGCGGTGTGTATGGGGGGGGCGCCGGATTGGGTTTGATCCCTCTGCTCTTCATGTAGGAGATGAACTGGTCGGGGATCTCTGCTAGCACGTCTTTGGCGAGCCGCGCCATGCTTAACACGTGGTTACCTGTCCGGTCCATATAATCTCTGAAGGGAACAAACTGAGGAAACAGACAAGAAACTGTGACACAAATCAAATATTTTTGACATTATATGGTTTCCATTATCCAACAGTGAAAGGTGCATACCTGCAAGGCTCAACCATTTTTATTTGGATCTGCACCAAATTGCACAAACTCATAAATATCAGCCCTCTAAACAGACCCATGGATTATTCTTGGAGAAATCACTATAAAATTTGAAAAATTCTAATGTAAAGAACGTAATAAAAAAACTTTAATTTGAATAGGTTCTTCCCTGTCCAATACCATGTCCATCCACCAGGTTTCATGGTGATCCATCCAGTAACAAACACAGACGAAAACATAACCTTCTCGGCAGATGGATCAGTATGATATATGATACTAAATGTAGAATTCCAAAAGGCTCATGTTGAAGCCCGGATTTTACTAAACATTTTCCAGATCCTGCCAGCTTTAGGATGCTGATCTGTCTCTAAGCCTGTGCTCTGGCTTCCCTCGGGAGTGAGTGAGGAAGAAAAATGAGCTCAAGGATCATTTTTAGATCTCATCCTTACTAATCCAGCGCTTTGGAGTTTTCAATCTTTTGATTATTTGTCACATCAAATTAAGATTTAATTATTTAGCTGCCACCCAAACCCTGACACATGGAGTAGATAATGGTCAAAACATTTGGGATCGCCCCCCCCTCCAATATAAAACACTACATAGCATCAGCACTCACTGCACTCTTGACACAACAACAGAATGGTGATGAGTCTGTTGTAACAGCTTTATAGTCATATGAATGTGACACAAAGATTTCTACACTATCACATGCTTTTATGACAAGCTTCTTAGCTACACAGGAATGAAACAGATGTACTTATAGAAAAACAAAACTATAATGTAAATTATATATAACCCCGAGCTTGATAAAAATGTATTTTTCCAGTTTTCTATCTGAATGTGGTTGAGGTTCTATGACCTTTGACCCCACTCTTGTTTAGGTCTCCCTGTATCTACAGTCAGAGTTGTAAAAGGCAACCAGTCACCTGAACAATGTCTCTTTCTGCCAGTTTCCCTCGGGACGAGATCCTGATGTCATCACCATCCAGCTCCACCATAGCTGGAAGACAAGTTCACACACACACACACACACACACACACACACAGAAAAACACATTCACATAAGAACACATTCACATAAGAACATATTTTTTAGAACCTTTAGCAGAGAGACAACACATATTTCCTACTGATGCAAAAATATAGTTATATATCATAATAATACCTTATAAATCAGCAATACCATGACTAAAAGAGAGGATGTTGGGCTGAGCAGTTGCAGTCTGTCTTTATTGCATGTATAATCAACTAATAAATCCTTTATTGTAGTCTCTGTGCAATTAAGAATAATCACCACTAAACACTGCAAACCAAGCAATTAACCTCAGACATTTCTTCTACATCCACCTACACATTCCCTCCCCTCCTGACTCATATGAGTTTGCTCAGTAATTTCCTCTTCGATACTTTTCTAAATTAGTACCAGAGGACTGGCTGTGTGTATTAATTAAAATGTAAATTATTCGCTGATGTTTTAAAATGTTCAACCAACTTTATTAATATAGAATTTTCTTTTTTTTTTTAAATAACATCATATAGGTGTGACCATGCAGTGGTTGAAACAGGTAAGTATTTACCATCAAACTCAGCTTGACCCACTCCAACTATGATGATGGACATGGGAAGCTTGGCACCCTGCACACAAATCAAAATAGAAGTGAACACACACACAGACACACACCTATCTGCTGTGCTCATTATTGTACATCAGACATTGTTGCGGTTACATGCTCACCCACGTTATTTTACGACCACACTAATGTTCTGTATCACACTTTAACTAGCTCAATGACCTTTTCCCTCCAGAGAGAGAGACAAGATTGTGGCAAGACATCAAAACATTTTCAGAAGAAACCTGTTTTTGTCTCTGCTTTTCACACCCCAGATGTTTAATGTTCCTGAATCCAATTAACAGCGGTGTGAATGCTGCCCTAGCTTGTATCTTTGCCCACTGACTGCTGGTTATCAGGGGAGGAGATAAAACTCACTGACGACACCTCTGAGAGACTGAACCAACAGGACAGAAGTATCAGCAGCAAAGCTTTTTCTACAGGTGTATTACTCATATAAACACATTTCACAAGTTCTGATGAGATTTATTTTAAGAATTCCCAGCTACAAATAGAAACATGTTTACATTATGAAGTCCAGTCAGCCGGTTAGGCCTAAAACCAACAGGGCAGGACATGGAAGACAGCATTTGTGAGCCAGAAAAGGAGGTAGTGAAGGAGGAGGTGCCAGCTTCAGTCACCAGGAGAGGAGGTAGTGGAGGAGGAGGTGCCAGCTTCAGTCAGTACAGCGACCGTCCTCCGTCACCAGCTCAGCCCCTCCTGACCACACCTCAAGTCAGATAACACAGCTGTTAGCCCTTGTTTTGAGAGTAAGTGAGAGTATCTATAGAATCAATCAATGGAAACTGCTGAAGGTATTAACATTTATAAAACATGTGGGGGCTGGGAAATATTTGTGATATTATAGCATATTACCTTTTGATGGAATTGCATTGCGAGGATAAGGGATGGGCAATTAACCAAAAATATAGCGAAATAGACATTATTATCTTCATCTTCATCAATATCATCAATACTAATTGAGGTAAAAGTTATATGCTAACATGCTCACATTGTGCTGATGTTTACCAGATATAATGTTAACATCAGTTAAATTTTGCATACTACCATTGGCTGATTAGCATTGAAAATAAAGTACAGCTGCGTACAATGGGAACGTTATTAGTTTTGCATTTTTTCCGATGAAAATATAAGGGATTTCCAAATGTATCCGTTTTACTGGGTTATTTCACACAAAGTGACACAAGAGGAAAAATAAGGTGATCACCAAAGCCATTAGGATACAGTTTGGAACCACAATTTCATCCTATGATCATAAGGGAAAACTTTGACCTGTCAGTGTTTCTAATGGAAGTCAGGAGATCACTGACTTCATTTGAATTAAACCTCACCATGAATGTCTGCACAAAACTTCATTGGAATCCATCAAGTGGTTGAGACGGTCAGTCTGGACCAAAAAGTTGGACTGACTAATAGACAAACAATGCCATGACTGGGACCTGCTGGCAGCGTGACTAAAATAGCAGATTGCTATATTTATGCACATATCCAACAGTGATGTTGGGCAAGGTTTTCCATTTAAGGAGAAATGTTAACTTCTGCCAATCCAGATTTATTAGAAATATCTACTTATGATTAAAAAGGGTTAGACTGGTAATGCTAAAGGGATTTTCTTTTAATTCTGCTTGAGTGACAGTGGCTGCATTGCTCTCTGGCAGCCCACGTTCATGCCTGTTGTTGAAATTCCCAGATGGACGACAACATAAACGCTCAATGCTTCTATTATGTTTAATGAGTTTCCTGCAGACACTACTTCCACAAAGTCGATATAACAAGTGCAGTTTTATCTCTGGCACAAGACAAATGTACCGTGGCAAATCAGGCAACCTCTTACTGCCACAGGGATAAGAGCAGCAGCACATCAGCACGATTATCAGTGTTCAGCACAGCTCCTGTCAGTGCATGTCCTCCCACGCGCATACACACACTTGCAGACATATGTGTGTGTGCATATCCGGAGACATACCCACACATCAGAGCATCAAAGGCCACCAAAAATAACCTGGCAATCCACCATGCCCTACTTTTGCCATCCTCTTGTCACCCTAACAGACAGCTGAGATCCAGTCTAATGAGACAACAAAACAAAGCGTCAATCAACATATTACTCCAGCAACTTGCTCTGGATGCAGTGCTTAAACCTAAATGTCACGCATGTGCATGCTTTGATAAATCCTGCTCTTTGTTGTCTCCTCTGTGTGAGTCCTGCTGCATCTCTGCTGTGAAAAAGTGAGTAAATCTGAATGAATCATACTTTTGTACTCATAGTTTCAATAAAATGAATTGAATAGTAGTTGAGAATCTACTTGAAGTTTAACCATTTATATCTTCATGTGGGTTGCCATGCTGCTTTACACGAGCGTAAAATGGTTCCAAGCGACCAGTGGGAGCAATTGAAGGGACTTTGGGGCCCCAGGCAAAAGGGACAGGGGGGTCCAGACCCAACGTCACTCTTACAAAAAACTAAAACAAAGATACCAAATCATTGCTTCAATATTACAAACATCATGCACACTATACATTCATTTAGATCATATAATAACATAATAAGACCAAAGTTTTCTGCAAACTCTGACCACCACCCTAGGTACAGCGTACACATTTGTGTTCTAGTTTTCAAACGAATCCTCAAACCTCCCAAATTATGAAACTTTTGGCTGAAATAGCTGAAAGCTATTACCTTGTAAGGGGGTTTCTCACCACGGTGTTGTTACAGTCTCCTGTACATAGGCAATCATAGAATCATGCTCATTGTTTTTAACCTTGACTTGAGGCTCTTACTTTAACTTTTAGTGTATCGTGAATGCATATGTGCATATTTATAAGTACTTTTGCAGGAATCTTGTTTTAAAAAGGAAAAGGCACCCTGAACCAACTCATGGTGCTAACATTAGTTTAATAAGGTAACTGTTTATAGCTGAGGATTCTAAAGGTAAGTTGCGTGCTGCCATCACAGTCAACTGCTTTTGTGCCATGTGTGAATAATAGAAAACTTGACAGATAAAGTAACATTGTTAAAAGGTGTGGGGAGTGGCAAACTGTCAATAATTGTACAATATGCTTAACTTTATTACATGCAATCAACAACAACACAAACCAAGTCTGTAAAAAAAAAAAAAAGCTGATATATTCACCACCACACATGCTATTATGAATACCACGCTTTCCAAAATTTGGTTTCACATCACCAGGTATTTCATTAGCTCTAATACAACAAAGTTCAGCGTCCAATACAAAGTGAAAAAGTGCTTCTCGTGGGTCCTGCTACTGACAAAAGAGAAGACGCAAAACCGCTGACAGATAACAAGTAGAAGATGAAAAGGAGAGAAAAATCAAAGGCAGCAGAGGAGTGTGGCAAGAGCAGATAGAGGAAAAGAGATTTACATCTTAGAGACAGGAAGAGATGGAGAGAGACGGCAAACGTCTTTGTATTGTGAGCGAAAGAGTCTCATAGCACCACAGAGAGCGAGGCAGTGGATAGACCCTGGCTGCGAGCAGAGGAGGGGGATGCTGAGTTATTGACGGTAGAATAGCAGAATCTGTTATGACTGATAAAACCCCTCTGCTCTACCACATAGGTCTGTGTGAGTAGGGGGCAGACCAATGGGATAGATGGCAGTTAAGCCCACGCCCTAAATGACAGCCGCACAGAGAAGGCTGATAAAACCTCTGTGGATTTTTCACAGTTCACTGGCCAACATTATTACTGTATGTATTATTCAGACTGTATATAAAGAAGGAAGACTTCACCGCCACCTGGGGGCTGGTTGGCATTGGCCATAAATCCCACCTACTCCATGTTCGTGGATGGGACATTTATGGAACTAATCAGAATCAGTAAATAAAAAAAATAATAAGTCAAAGTACATTTTTATTTTTACTCAAACATGGTCACTTTATGTTTGGTTTTTGTTTTAACAATGATTTTTCCAGTACAGGAAATGCTCCCTATCCCAACTATCCCACTACTTACCAACACTTTAACTAATGCATATAAAATCCCCTTGCATGCACTAATGTAAACCCACTCTAGATGTCTGCACAGAGTTGTGCACACACAGGCTTCCTCCCACTCTGCTTCTCACTCTTTGTTGAAGACATCTTTCAGAATGAATAAGTATGAGGAAAGACTTATATAACCTCAGCACTGGGTCCTCCCTCGCCCAGGATCTGTGGAGAGTAGCAGGGAAAAGCAGCGCAGGCAGTAAACGTCAGTCAGAGTGGCAGCAGAGAGATAGAGCAGCAGGCAAGATCTTAAAAGGAAGGTGTGGCTGTTCTAATGTTTTGACTAACAGTCGCAAATTCCCTTTAAATCCAGTCTGCTGGGTGTTCTGTGCCTGCAGCGGGCTGAGGAGGAGAAAAGAGATAGAGACCAGGGAAAAAGAAAGGAGGCCCACTCCTTGTTTTTCAAAGCTGCAAGAAAAAAATTGTTAGGACAAGTTTTGAGAAGAGCTCTGAGAAATAAGGCATAATATTGTTTTTTTATTTACTGAGGCAGGAATAACTTTTCAAATACTATAGTTCATAAATATGTTCACTACAATTTCTATGTGTTTTTCTCAGATAGATGCAAACACAGGGAATCAGATTTCTATCCTGTATATAGTGGAATTGACAATAAAATTTAATTTGACTTTGAAAACACATTTGAACAATTCACAATAAGATAAAAGCATTACCTGTGCTTTGAGCTAATTGGTTAGTTGAAAATAAAAAGCAGAAAAATCAATTGATATGGAAAACTCCAGTTGCTTGGTCTTATCCTGATTGGTCTTTTTGTGATTTGTATAATTCATATGAAGAGTAAAATTGCCAAACTCAGTTTTTTATCTGAGAGACTAGTTCTAGTTTCGGAGCAGTAACTTTTGAATGTCGTCCCTATTAGGTTGCCAGGCAACCAGCAGAGATGTCACCTCTGGACAGAGGCTGCATTGAGTCAGTGTATGTACTCAGCTTCACAGCAACATTCACTTCAAAGGTATTTCCCTCTGTCCAGGTCTAGCCTCACACAGCACATAGCCTCTCCCCTTTCTCATTCTTACATTCACAATGGCCTCTTTGGTCTGGGCCATGTCGGAAATGACACCGTCTGTGATGATGAGGAGTACAAAGTACTGAGAGCCGTCCTGCACTGCTGCCGCATACCTAGAGACACACACATGCACACACAAGCACACACAAGCACATACAAATTAAGGGGGGTTGTTTAATTTCTATTACGAAAACAAATCTAATTTCAATACACTGATGCAGAAAATAAATCTACGACAATACAAACCTTATGATGCACTCTCATCACATGCAAATCCAATAAAGATGTTCTTTGTCTTTGCTCTACTTGAGCTAACACTCATTAAACGCCTTGTGAGAACCTACTGATTAATAAGACCAAACAATCGAGTGAAAACAGATTAACACCTTTATTGAAATCCCTTCCAACTTTACTTCACCTATTCACATGCTAAATACAAACAGTGTGGTATTACTGCAGTGGCTCCCTGCCACAGTTTAAAATGTGCAACTCCATTTTATCAGAATGACATTTTTAATTACAACAAAGCCTTGGAGTAATCAGATGGAGAATTGTTTGGCTCAACAAATGAGATGCTGAGGGGAGCAGCGACAATGATAGGTGTGTGTGTTTGTGTGTGTGTGTGTGTTGGAGGTGGGTAGGACTACTCACATCATGTCATGTTTGCATAGTTTTTTGGGTCAACTGTGAATGATATGTCAGTATATTGGTTATAGTCATGTTCACTACTCTTTTGATAGCTGTCAGCCAAAATCTAAATTCATATCCAAGCGTGTCATCCTCTGCATCTGACAGGACAAATATTGTCAGTGCACTGGGTCAGAAAAGCATGGCACAAAAAAATAGCAAAGAAAAATGCTGTGTTTTTTGTCCTTGATAACTTGAGTCTTTCAGAATACCTCGAGCACAATGTGAATGCTAACATTGTGTTGGCACAAAAACAAATCATTTCTAAATTGTTGATGTTGACAATAAAATGATCGCCAGCTGCCAGTCTTTGAAAAAGCGCTAAATACGGGCTCCTTTTCTACAAACCTTTAAAGTTAACTGGTGACGGTTAGTGCAGGTTTCAGCATTTTTTATCAGAGTGTTTTTAGTATTCAATAGAAATATGAATAATGCATAAATCATAATGAGAGTACCACGAGAAGCAAATGTTTTCACATGACTCTTACTTTTGTATTATTGTGTTTGTATTGTATGATATTAATAAACTTGACAAATTGAAGTATGAGAGAAGGTGTATTTGTAGTGGACACTAAAATAACATAATTCAACAACTTGTTTGGTGGTTCGCCATATTGTGAGGTTATAGCACTGATTTTATGTTGCTTTGCACTGTCACTGCCTCCTTTAAGGAGCTGCGAGGTAACCATGGTAACGGCCACATGAATTGTAAAAGAGATGTTGTGATGACGCCATTTTGTCTCTTGTGAAAATCAAACGGCTACAGAGATGTGCAACCAAAACGAGAAAGTTGCTCTCCGGTTCAACCCAGCAAACCGTACAGATTCTGTACTGTTGTAATGAAAATAAAACTAGAAATACATCTGCACATTTACTAATAAACAGCTTATATGACTTTAATGGGGCCAAAAAAGTTAACACTATTCACCAGTTTGCATTAGTGTCTCACCTGGCCACATGGTTCACCACAGGAGCAAAGTTAGTTGGCCCGTAGAGCTGCACTGTCTTTAAACTCTGGTGGTATGCCTCTAAGATGCCTTCAATACCATTGCAGTATGGATTTTCCATGTTTCCGTTCTGGAGAGGAGAAACAGAGTCAATTAATAACATTGTCTGGGTGAAAACCTTTTTTTTTTTACCCAGTCAAAGCAGCAACAAGATCCTAATCAAAGTCTTCTGGTTTAATCAGATGTTGATATAAATCAATTTAACAGATTAATCAAAGGTGAACATGAGACATAGTGGACTTCACCAGGGGAAACTCGTGTGACACCCGTCCATCAGGGGGCAGCTTGGCTCCAAATCCCAGCGCGGGGAACATCTTGTCGCTGTCGTAGTCCTGAATGATCTCACCGACAGCCTTCAGGGCCATGGCGTAGGCATTCAGCTGATATGGGTTCATGTAATGCAGCGATGTAGACTGAGAGGGGTTACCTGTTGATCGATCAGTCATTAGGTCAATGCTGTGTTGAGGGTACAAAGATAAGACTCCAATAATACAATGTATTGGTCTTGTGCATACTCTAAGTAATTCTAATTTGCTGCAGCCGCTGACAATTGACATGATTCCTGTGAGACGGAGCGTCACTTTCTAACCCCAGAGATGATGAATCATTACTTTCAATTTAGCTGTTTGTATCACAGGGGAAATCCATCAAAAACAGTGCGAGGAAAGATCCTGCCAATGACAAATGAAGAGAGCACTGAGAAAGATTGTTAGAGACCTTCACAAATACCCTCTCTATGATAAAATGATGATGTTTGTTATTCTTTATTTAAGACGCAGATTGGAGATTGTGGATGTGATTCATGATATTTCTGTTTGCTAAGTCATGTCTCAGATCTGACAAGATATAATACAAGTTATCTTATCAAGAGAGAACAGAGCTGCTATAGTCACAGGGTCCTAAGCAGTGATTGGATATCTGCTGAGTGGAGTATGGGTTTAGCAAATGTTCATTTGGGAAATGATAGAGTTTGATTTTCCTCTAATAGATGTAATTCACATTGAAGAACTCCTCCTTGTAGATAAATCTTTCCGAGGACTCAGTCAGGGGTAATTAATGGCGTAAGTAGCTTAATTAGATTTGAGTTCAGTCCCTTGCCACACCAAAAAGTCTTTATGTTAAATTAAGTGTTCAATAACAATTAGGTTACCTAATATAAACTTTATTTAGGTTGTATTGTGTGTGTTTGTGATTGCGCACTCCTATCTGTTCTTACCTCTTTATATACAGTCTATGGTTCTTACCAACCCTACACACAAACACACACACACACACAGACACTTTGCCGTCACTATCACTCACCATTAGATGCTGTGAAATCGATGGCCACAGTGAAATTGATCTGCGTCCTAGAAGAGGGATGGAGAGGACATGGAAAAAAAATTCAATGACAGAAAACGAATAACATGCCAAGCCTCATTAAATTCCCGTATTCTTGCAGGCTATCGCACACATACAAACACACATTTGCACACCCACAAAACATGACAAGATAATCACTAAAGATGAGCAACACGATTTATAAAATATGGGAATTATTTCTTATGATGATATAGCTACAAACAGATCCAGATTGAATATCTCATAGCAATTTCTTGTCTTCATCTGCAACAAGACAGCAGGCGCTCAGTTGTTAGATTCAAACAATTACACTCCTCGGTTAATCTTCACCTCCACCAGGAGGTGTAGCAGGAGGTGCTGAAGAGCCTGCACTTGGTAACAAGCAATTAGACTGATGGAGCACTTAAGAGCAAATCATAATCCAATTTTTCCCTGCTGATTAAGCACTCCGATCTTCTTGCTAATTAACGACAATGAGACGAGGCCCTCAGGGGCCCAAACGACAGCCTCTCACGAGAGCCACCAGAGAGAAAGTCTAGAGAATGATAATAAAATTAACAAACTAAAGATTCACATTAACCTTTAGGTTTGGTGTGGGGGCGGAGAATATACCACAGCCTGACCCTGCTAACCTCAGTATTAATTAAACTACATTTTATTAATTCATGAATACTGTGGAAAGTATTAGATCTCATGGGAACACATGGAACAGAGGTTTGAAAACTGCAAACGTGCGTTGGAAATGGTAAAAGTTATTCTCCTTTTTTCTCATTTGAAATGAAGGTTTAAGTATGGATCTCCCATCTACTGTGCATGTGTATGTACTTGTGTGTGTGTGTGTGTGTGTGTGTGTGTGTGTGTGTGTGTGTGTGTGTGTGTATATATATCTCAGACACTTGTCTCTTGGATGAAGCCTCAGCTTTAGTTTGTCCTTTATTCAAAACCACTTAATCCTACTTCAAATCAATAAAATATAGGCCAGTAAAAGATAATGTTCAAGTTATTAACCTGATGTGAGAGCACTGAACCATTGTCAGTGTAGAGATGGCCCCAATCCTTATATTCCAAAAAACAAAATGTTTGGTTAAAATCAACGTGACTAAATTTCATTTCACCTCATTGTAGACTAAGGTGAAATTATTTTTGAACAGTTTAAATATTTGTTTCCTCTTTTGGTTACAGTGGTTATCAATTACGATACGACACAACACCACATAGTTTGATATGATACGATACGATATGAAAAGATACAGTATGATACGGTACAGTACAACATGTCAGTATGCAATGCTGGGGTGAGGTATGATATGATGCAATATGGTATGATAATGGTATGATACAATGTGATAAGGTACTGTAAGGTGCAGTATGATATGATAGTTTAGAAAAACACACAATGATTTGCTGATGAGGGCTTGTTCCAGGGAGCTAGATAATGAATAAAAGCTTCTTATCAAGATGAAAAACCTCTAATACCCAATGTTGCAGCTTTAATACAAGCATAGAGAAAATCAACATACAGCAAAGAGCTTGGACTGTTTATGTGACACACTTTCTTGACTTTCATCCATTTTCTAAATAGCAAGAGGCTCCACGCTTGTAACAACCAGGTTTTTGATGTGTCATTCAGCAAGTGGGGGCAGACTGATGAGGATGATATCTTTGAAATGAGGCCACTAAACCTTAAGGTTATTGTACCATAGATCAACCAAAGCCCGGAACTGTCAGTGGAATCTGTCACACTTGTCAGCTCTGCCACAGCCCATAAAGCCCCTGACAGCCAACCTGCTGTGATGGGACAGTGGACATCAAAGCACTGTCCATCTCGCCTGGAAGGCACACATCACCTGAGAATGACTTGATATTCACAACCTCCTGCTCTGAATCGAAACCCAGGTCACAGGACTGATATCCCCTCTGAAGACACTTTAAAATGTATTCAGCAGATATTTCCCTTTAAGAACATACACTATAAACCAGTGTAACAAAGTTGCAGTGGAACAATGTACTTGTGCCATTACATTATT